CCTTTTCCGACTCCGGCCATCCTCCTCTGTCTTTCCCAAACTTGACCCTCTTTCCCGCCCCTGTCAGAAAATGAATTTGAGGCAGAACCTATTGATTTTCCACAGAAACAAAGCATCTGGAGATTGTGTTTTTCCATCTGTGGAGGGTGAGGGGCCAGTGATGGTGTGTTTCATAGATCGATCTCAGTGTTTGAAGGGCTGGCCCCATGGGCCTGGGGATGGCAGGCTGGGCACTGTCTCCGTGTCCCATTCTGGGTGTCTCGTTTAACTGGGAGAACATAAAAAAGAAAAAATAAGAAAAGACAAAGAATAAGAACAAGCTCCCTTGTGGCCACCACCTAGAAGTGACCATTTTGCCTCAGGTGTTTAAAATCTAAACAGATGGGAGCGTGAACACAGACAAAGGTGAGCTTCCCATCCACAGTGCTTTGCTCCTTGCCCCAGGGGAGATGCTACCATCCGTTTCATGTGTATCTTCATAATTGGTTTTCATATTTTTGCTGCATATGTATGAATCCATGAATAATATATAGTTGCGCCGGGTGTGTTTTTTAGAAGCATACTTAAGTGCTGACATGCTGTAATATCATTCTATAGCTTGCTTTTCTCACTAAACATTGTATGTTCAAGATTGCTCCTTGTTGATACTGATCTCTGGTTCATTTCTCTTCAGTGCCGAAAAGAGTTTCACTGTGCGACTGGACCACAGTTTACGTAGCTATTACCCTGTCGATGGACACTCGGTTTTGTCTGGTTTCTCTGTATCACAAGAACAGTGCCATAAATGTCTTTGTGCCTCCCGACGCAGACACATGTCCAAGCAGCTTACGGGCTTGTGGGCCAAGTTCAAGTAGGCCAGAGCCATCCCTGCACCTTGCCTTGCGATTCTCCCGAGTTTTGCCACCCAGACCAGCTGCCCTCTCCCTCCCTGAGCTCTCCAGGCAAGGGCTGGTTTGGGGCAGTCAGCATGCAGTGCAGAGGGAAAGTGGCAAGCGGTGTGGCCAAGGCGTGGCCTGTGTATGCGTCCCCGCCCGACTGCCCTCCACTTCTGTTTAAGCTAGTACACATTTATCATAACACTGCCTAAGACAACTCAAATCTGTATCTCTCTCACCCACATTCCTGCCTTACTCCACACTTGTTTTTCCTGTTCTGAGTCCCTTTTGGTCTCTGTCCACAAGCATACATACTTACCCAGAGCTGTAATCGTACACACAGTGCTGGGCATTCTCTACTTCCTACCTAACGATACATTACAAACCGTTTCCACCTTGCTCTAGTCTCCATGCTGGGATCACGCATGTTGCCCTGCCGTGCACCCTCACCTGCTCTTCTTGATGAGGGGCTGCTTTTCCTCCATTTCTCTTCCAGCTCCCAGCAGTCTTTGCATGACAACTGCCAGCCCCCTCAGATCCTGTGGCTGTCTAGAAGCAGAGGAAGAAAGCCCTCGGGGTGACAGCCCTGCCCAGCTGCTGTCCGGCAGCCCAGAGTGCTGTATGACCCAGAGTGCTGTATGACAGCGCTTCCCGGCTGCAGGCCCCACCACTGCCACCTCCTTCGAAACCTCCTCCCCGGCAGCAGAAAAGCCCCACACTACCTGTAGGACAGGCTCAGGACACATGGCTTTGAGACTGTTTTAAAGACTCACAGGCTTCTCCCAGGAGGAAACCGTTGGGAGCAGGCTTTTCGGCCTTGCTCTTTCTTCTGCAGGTTTCGAGGGAGACCATGAAGGGGACTCAGGCACTGCTTGTGGTCCAGCCCAGCTCCCCAGGGCAGGGGGCTTGAGGTAGAAGCTCCCTCGAGGAGCGGGGGCGTGTTATGTTCTTCCCCCGAGCGTTAAGCTTGGGATGGTGTGAGTGAAAGAACGCCAACCCCACGCGTGGTAGACATCACACAGTTCCTGGAACGCTCGCTGCAGCGTGGACATTGTCTCTGCATTCTGTTTCCTTAGCTAACTTCCTCCAGCCAGCACGGAGGTTGCTGTTTATCTCACTAGACCAAGGCACCAGTCTTCTATACCTCTGCCTTCCCATGAGCCAAATAACCCAGGGATGACCAAAACTAATAATAATGAACTTCTTTAAAAGAAGAGCTAGTATTGATGGAGTACTCATCGTACACCAGATACTCTGCTTTCAGCATTTTGTACTTGTCATCTTGTTCATTCCTCACAACACTCAGTAAGAGGAGACTGTCTCCACCCCCCAGTGACAGCTGTGGAAATGAGGCTCTAAGAAGTTAAGTGGGGGGCGGGGGGCTGGGTCTTCCTTAGAATTCTCCCTGTACTTTGCCTCAGCCATCCCAGCCATCCCAGCCGGGAGCCAACAAGCTCAGGCAGAGATGAGATCCTCCTTTTGCATTCCCTTCAGAGAAGCCCCTCGCCGGCGTGGAAGTTATTTTGTACAATAGCATCGATTAGAAATTTTCCATTCCCTTTCAGTTTCCCATTAGAGGCTCTGCCCTATTTTCTCCTCAGAAGGCTCTGCTTTGGGGAACCTGCTTCAAGGGAGGGGAGCGGGGAATGCTTGCTGCGGGGAGGAGAGGGAAGAGGGGTGGCAGCTCCAGCCTCCCTCCACATGGCCTTGAGGAGGAAGAGGAGGAAGTGCAGAAAGCTGTGGATGCGGGGGGCCTTCCCTCGCCTACTTGCCCTACTTGCGAGAGCCCCCATCCGCATTGGCCGGGTCAAAAAACAACAGGCAGACCAGGGCTCCTGTCTCAGCATGGCCACTTGCGGCCCGATGACCTTAGGTGGGTGACTTGGCCATCCGGGGCCGTCTGTTATGGGGAGTAAGGAAGTAGCGTGGCCGTGCCAGCACCGGGCAGATGTGCGGAGACACGGCGCTCCTGTTCTTCCTGCGGCTCGTCCCTGGATGAACGCACACACACTTAGGGCTCTAGGGCCAAACCAAGCCAAGATTGGGTGCTGGCAAGGGGGCCTGGCCCAGGACACGTGCCCGAGAGGGGTTCTCCGGGCTGATGCCTGACTGGGCTTATTGTACCCACTTGCTTTCTGTTCCTGCACCACAGGCACACACACCTTGTTCTCTTGGGCTCTTCGACGTGGGCTTTGGTGCTCAGAGCACAGACACGGGTGGGGACTTTGCTTTTGTGCAGCTGTGGGGAAGGGCTGGGGAAAGCCAAGGCCCAGGGATGCTGTTCCTTGGTGGAATCAGCTGAGGCCCCCTCAGCAGCCAGCTGGGCGCTTCATGTCCCTGTCCTGCCAGTCCCCACCAGCAAGGACTTCAGAGAGGCTGCAGCCATAGTAAGCGAGAAGGCCCCTTAGAAAGGAGTCCCTTGGAGAAACTGAGGCACCAAACCAGAAACCAAGTGGGTTTCTTTGCCTGCAGGTTTTACTTTTCTTCCCTTCTCTGTCCTCGGCCTGCTTGTCCTCCACAGACCAACTCAGCATCCCATGTCTGGGCTACAAACAGGCCAACTGCTCTGTCTAATCGTAGCCATGGGCAGGCCCCGCTTTAACCCCACGCTTGGATTTGCCCAGTGTCGGAAGCACAGCACCTCTGATGAAAGGACTTCACCAAAGCAAATTTGAGATGGGGCACGGCGATGGGAGGCACTGGCCCACAGCCGGCTGGCCTGTTGCGGCGCCCAGCTGCATCCTCGGGGATGGGGAGCGCAGACTCTGGAGGCTGGCATGCAGCTCTAAGGATGAGGCTGGAAAGGCCCCAAGTCTCTTGTGCTCTGTGTGACACACAACTCAGGAGGCCTGGCCGGCCCTGAGAATGTCCTAAAAGCCCCCAGGAGCCCCGGCTGCACGCGTCTGTACATGATGCGGTGGGAATGACAGTTCTCCGGAGCCCTTTTCACTCTGGACCTGTTCTCCGACACGCCAAGCCACTTCCTTCTAATAGGTGTGAACATAATGGACTTGTTTAAATCCTTCTGAAGACAGGCCCACCACTGCATGCCTGCTGCGCCAGCAGCCGCGCCAGGTTACAAAACACTAGGGCCATTTTCCTGGTCCCTCAACACCTGTCCCCTCCCTCCCCCCCCCCACAGAGAAGTGAAATGTCAGTGGAGCAAATTATCACTGAATACTTTGGAATCTATAAATATTAAATTGCTGTGGCTTTCACTGGCCCATATAAAATTAAAAGCTCTGGTCAGCTCCAGAGGAGAGGTGGCTGGTTGGGGGCAGGGTGGGGGGGTTGGGGGGAGGGGAGCTGCTGCCAGTGGAGAGACAAGTGTCTCCAAAAGGGCAGAGCCGTGGCTGAGGGCTGTGGTTGGTAGGGGGGACCCTGGCTGGGGGAGAGACAGCAGGCAACGGGGTACAAAGAGCAAGGAGGTAGAAATCCGAAATGCCACTGTAACCCAGGATGGGGTTTTCTCTGGGTTTTCACTTGGGGCTTTATGGTTGGGGATGTGTGTGGGTTGCCCAGAGTTCTGTGTCGCATTTCTTACTCCAGCCCCAGACTCTAAAGTCAGCACGCTCCCTCCAGGGACTGTCCCCCTCAGAGCGGGTACTAGAACCTCCCCAGGCAGCAGGGCTGGAGATGGGGGTGGGGTCGCGGGCTCACCGGCAGCCCCTGCCCCAGGCTCCTCCCCTCCTCTGGCCCCTTTGCTCCCACTGGCGGGGTGGCCTGCCTGTGTGCGGACACCCACTGCCCAGGTTGATCTGTGCTGGCTTGGGAGGGTGTTTTCACACATCAGTTAGGTTTTAGGTCCCCTGCAGGTGGCAGGGGTGTCTTCTGCTTGAGATCTCTTGAGGATTTATTGAGTGCTTCTATGTGCCAAGACCCCATGCCAAGTTCTTTAAATGCACCACCTCGTTGATCTTTACAAAGTGGGAGGAGGGAACTGTCGCGCATTCACCACATTTCAGGATGCTGAGGCCTGGAGAGGGGAAGTGAGTTGCCGGCTTCCCTGTAGAAGTCTGTAGAAGTCGCAAGGGAGTCCTGTGGCTGTTCAGTGGCTGAGCCTGGAATCCAGCCAAGCACCCCCAGCACTTCCCGACTCTCAAGCGAGTTCTCTTTCCCTTGCAGGCATCCCCACCCTCATCGTGCTGGACCCCCAGGGGGAGGTGATCACGCGGCAGGGGCGCGTGGAGGTGCTGAACGATGAGGACTGCAGGGAGTTCCCGTGGCACCCCAAGCCCGTGCTGGAGCTCTCCGACTCCAACGCCGTGCAGCTCAACGAGGGCCCCTGCCTCGTCCTGTTTGTAGGTAGGAAGCCCGGCAGGAGCCCCAGGGTGGGCTGGACACCATGGACCTCTTGTGTGTGCGTGGGGGGGGGATGTCCATCCCTGCAGCTTCTTTCTGTCACCAACAATGCCAAGCCTGGGCCTTTGTCTCTCCCAGCAGTCTTGCTTTTGACCCCAATGATTTATTCATGGCTCTGCCCCTGCGGGAGGGGTTCTGGGAGCTGCCGCTGTGCTTGCCTTCCTGGACTGCCAGCTGGGAAGAATAGGTCAGGCGGGAGCCCGGCCCCCACGACCAGACCCATTGTTGGAAGGAGGCGGGCAGCAAGCACAGCAGCTGCAGGGGCCAGGCCCCCTTGGACGAAGGCCCCCCGCCCCCAGCCTCAGGGCAGCATCTCTGTGGCCGGGTGCCCCTCTCAGTTGGCTCGCTCTCTGCTCAGTGGGTGACTGCTCTGCGGGGCAGAAGACGCCAGAACGTCCACTCCAGGCTCCCTGCAGCCCTGTGGGATGACCCCTGTTCCTTTTGCAAACGGAGCGACTGCTGGCCAAGGGCCACCTCACCTTCTGCCTTGGGACGTGTTACTCAGCTCCAGCTCAAAATAGTTTGGGGTCCTAGGACCAAGGCTGAGATGCCGCCATACCCACTTAGACTGATGGGGTTGGTAAGGGAGGTGCTCTGGAAGTCTGGTGTGGGGGCCCCCACAAGGGGCGCCAATATGCAGACTCAACGGGAATTCTTACACAAACTGACTTGCAGGCCGGCCCCTGTGCTTGGAGAACAGAGGTCTCCTGGGGAAAGATGGCCTTGGGGAGTCCTTGTCCTCGGGGCTTTGCTGCTGGCCGCTGGCTCACGCACCCACACCCCGGGGCCTCTGGGAAACAGTCCTGAACTGGGGGACAGTTGCATCTCACTGGCCCTCTGTAGATGTTGGTAAGGAGGTCCCAGAGAGGCAAAGCGAGTTCCCAGCATCGCAGAGTGGGTTAGATGTGGATCAGGAATACGTCCTGCTGCGTCTGCACACTGCAGGGGGCAGTGGGGCATTGCTGGGCGAAAATCCTGCTGCCTGCCTCCCCTTCCCCGCTTTGCTGCCTGGGCAGTTGCTCTTGTTCTGGGTTACAGGGTCCTGCAGGAGTGAGCCCCAGGGCCCCAGAGTGTGACTGCCCCCACGCTGCTCTTTCACTGGAGGCAAGAAATGACTAAAGGGGGCTCTGGGGCACCTGGGCAGGCAGTCCATCCCCTCTCAGGCGAGTCCGGCCAGCCGTGAAGTTGGCTTTCCAGGGGTCCCGGTGTCACCCCACTGCCACAAAGCTGCTGACAGGACTACAGTCCTGACCCCCCGCCACCACCCCTTCTGCCATTTTCAGTAGGAAGTCAGATCCGAGGTCGTTCTGTGATTGAGAGAAAAACTACAAGGGCCTCAGGTCCTGGCCTTGGGGAAGCTCAGCTTCCAAGGCCAGTTTGTGCAGAATTCGGTGGAAAGAATCGTGGCGCCCGGGGTATTAGTGACACTCGGGGAGGAGCCCAATGCGGTGGTGCGCATGCGCCACGGACACACCCTCCCGTATCCCGGAGGCGAGGCCTGTGTCCCAGGGGAAATCTGGTTTCCATTCAGGGGCTGCCCAGATGGGCGTTTCAGGCCCAGGACCCAGCTCCCTCAAGGGGCGCCACTCCATCTGCTCCACAAACCAGTGCCTCTTGTGTCTCTCTCTCTCCATTACAGATTCTGAGGATGATGGGGAGTCTGAGGCAGCCAAGCAGCTGATCCAGCCAATAGCCGAGAAGATCATTGACAAGTACAAAGCCAAAGAGGAGGAGGCGCCACTTCTGTTCTTTGTGGCAGGGGAGGTGAGTGCCGCTGGGACCTGGCCTGCTGGCTGCTCAGCGGGCCAACTTTTGGGACAGGAGTGATGCGGCTCTAGGGGATGTTTGAAAGAGCCCCGGGATCTGGGGTGGAGAACCCACAGACAGGTGTGGCATGAAAAGGTGTGTCATCCCGCACAGAAAACCATTTCGTGTCGCTGCTGTACATTCCTCCCTTGTTTGCCACTCAGAGCCTCAGGGTGCCCTCTCAGGGAGGGGCTGCCTCTTGCACCTCTACCCGCCCAGGCTGCTAGGAAGAGTGGCAGCCACAGAGATGGTCATCAGCACTCCCTCCCTCCTGGCTGGGTCCAGACCAGGCCCTGGACGCTTTACAAAGCATCTGCTTGGCTAGTCCCTCGGCCCTGGCCTGCAAAGTGGGCTCTTCCCATGGCAGGCATCCACAGCTCAGACCTGCATGTCTCCAGCCAGCCCGGGAGAGGGTGCTGAGGTTGGACACTGCTGCTGTCCCAATCTCTTTTCACCCCAGGCCTGTCCCTTGAAGGCCTCCAGCTGGGATGGACATGCACAGAGGAATTCTCACAGGGTGAGAAGGCCGGGCGCTCAGCTGGGGCCACCTCCCACAGGTGCAGGAGCCTCTATCCTGCTGACGCGGGGATCCCTGCAAGATGGCTGTCGCCGCTCTGACTCAGTCCCCACCCCCAGGAAGCCCGTCCACGCATGCTCCGCTACCCCCCCACCGCACGGTGCCGGCCAGAAGCTGGTTATTGACAGACACGCTTTTGGAAGCCCCCTGCCCTGTTTCCACCCATCTGCATCCCCAGTTGGTCAGAGCCCTGCACTCATTTCATGCTGTGCTATTTGGTTCCCCCGAGAGGCAGCGCAGCCAGACACCCTGAATGACCACCCATTCATCACCTCTTCAATAGCCACCCCTGCTAAGCCCTGCCGGGCCCCTCGGGCCCCTCGCAGGCAGCTGAAGTTACCCTGCTCTGCTATGGGGTGGAGGGAACAAAGCAGGTTCACAGGGCCCTGCCTTGGGGCTATACAAGCCTGCTCCACACAAAGCACAAATGGAAGCCGCTCTGAATATATTAAACTCTAACCCCTTTCAAATGGCTGTGAGAGAAAAGATGGGTGTGGAACAGAAGGGGCCAAGCCAGGGGCAGGGGTGGGGCTGGGGAGCTCCAGTAAGTGCATTAGGAACATGGCTGAAAAGGCGCATTTGCAGGTCTTCTATGCACCAGGCAGCAAGCCGAGCGTCACCGGCACCCTCCCATTTGCTCCTCACCTCTCGGACTGGGAATGGCGTCATTCTGTTTCACAGATGAGGAAAGCGAGGCTTGGAGAGAGCCAGACAGCTCTCAGGTCTGCTCCCAGGTCTGGTCGGCCGGCCGGGCTGTGCATCCTTGCCGACTCACCTACTGGCTTGCACCTGCCCCATGCGAGCCGTTCTTGAATCCATTTTACAGGGGACAAGGCCTGGGCTCACAGAAGTGACTTATCAAAGCCACACGTTAAGTAGGGGGTGCAGAAGACTGAACGTGAGGTCAGTAGGACTCCACAAGTAGTGTTCTCACGCCTCTGTCCACGTGGTCTGGCAGGTGGCCAGGCCCCAGGGGCAGGATGCCTGCACCAGGACAGAGGAGGGTCTGACAGAGTCATCCACTGTCCAGCTCCTCGCCTGGCTGTCCTGTCCTTCCTGTGCACTTCACCTGGACTCCTGACCTCGGCAGCTCTCTTGGTCCAATTCTCTGGCCTCATGCTCAGAAGCCAGGTGGCATGGAAGGGGATGGGCACGGGGTGCTGGGTCATCGAGCACCGACGGGGCACCTCTGAGCCAGGACTCTGGCCCTCTCCCACTCCTCCCAGGGCTAAAGGTGTTTGTCATGATCCCCCCTGCTCAGACAGGCAGAAGTCATCCCATCTGAAGCCTTAGTAGCCATTAAAATTCATCTCCCTGTGGTTTGCTCCGAGGGAGAGGGGAGGGGCCCAGCACTGTGCTCAGCTTGGCCCAGGCCTCCTAATGGGAATTCGATGTACAGCCGTCGTCGTCCAGGTGCCTCCCCTCTGCTTTATCATGAAGATCATTTATTAACCCACACGGAGGACCTGGGTGGGGTCAACAGTGCTAGAGATGCTGAATCACCCATCATTGCCGGAAGTGCATGCCGTTTCTAATCATCTGCCTAAAGATCTGCCCTTTGAGAAAGGAATGGTTTTTTTTTTTTGTCTGAGAAACCAGTGAGTGGTAGATTTCATGCCTCCTGCTCGCCAGCATTTAAGGCCAGGATGCCCCAAGCCCTTCCTGTGCAGAGGCACTTGGGTCTTCATCCAGTTCAGAAGGCTGCGTGTGTTTTATAGTGACCTAGCCTCTGGGTGGGTGTATGGAGTCCGTCACCTGCTCTCTACCAAATGGGGGGGCGGTAGCCTGAGAGGTAATCTCAGATCGTTGCTCCTTTACAAACTCTTCCACTAGTCTTTGCATTTCTGGGTTTGCTTTTATCCTTAATAAGGGAAATTCACCTGGACAGTCCGTGGGAATGTATGATCAGTAGAGGCACCTGTGGAAGCTTCAGGAGCCCTGTCTTCTGAACTGACTGTGCACCTCCTGCCCCCCTGAACCTCAGGGGTGGGGTGGGGACAGTGAGCCGTTTCTATTCACATCATTCCAGAGCTGGAAGTCCAGACTGGCCTCAGACATCCACAGTGGGGCTGCAGATAATTGAGAGGTAATGGCAAAAGGAAGTCATTAAAGGACAACACATTGTTAGCAAGCAGAGGACACGTTGAAGTTGCTTTTGTGCTAATGAAGAAAGAGGAGTTGTCTGGTGGTCTGGGGAGATGCAGAGAGAATTCTCCAAGGCAGGGTCGAGTCCACTGCTCCCTGTTCTGAGAGTCCATCTTTCCCGGAGGGCCACCCACTCTTCGGGGCACTGGAGTGGCGGCTTTCCATGCCGTCGGAGGGGGCGGGGCGGGGGCAGGGGACTCTCTACCCTCTTTCTGGAAGACTTACTCGTTTTCTCTCCCTCTGGTGACTTCCAGGATGACATGACTGACTCCCTGCGCGATTACACCAACCTGCCCGAGGCTGCCCCTTTGCTCACCATTCTGGACATGTCGGCCCGGGCCAAGTACGTGATGGACGTGGAGGAGATCACCCCCGCCATTGTGGAGGCCTTTGTGAATGACTTCCTAGCAGAAAAGCTCAAACCAGAGCCCATCTAGGGGGGGCTCCAGCCTCAGGAGACGTTATTTAAAAACTCGGTCTTCTCCTCTTCCTCCTCCCCTTCCTTCCCTCCACCCTTGGACTTTTCCAGCGTGTCCCGAATCACACAACCCAAGTGTCCAACCTCTCTGTGGTGCCTTGTTTTCTGCATTAACTCCTCAGCCAGCACCCTAAGGTGCACAGCCTCTCCGCAGCACAAGAACCCACCGTGTCTGGAGGCTCTGCTTGGGACCCACGGGGCTGGCAGAACCCGGCCAGAACCAGGACTGCAGCGCGCTCTCGGTCACTGGCTCTCGGTGCAGTACGTACCCGCCGGTCCCGTGCCGAGCGAGCGTGAAGGGACAGCGCCCTGGCGCTCTGGCCCCGCCCCCGGCGTCCGCAGGGCACGCAGGGCCCGGGCCGGCGCAGTGACGCACGTCCGTACGTGCGGGTGGAGCAGGGAAAGGGCCTCGGGCTCGCGAGGCCTCGGCTTGGAGTTGCTGGCGGGAACGGCCGTTCTTCTAAGTGAGTCCGTCTCTCCTGGTGTGAGGGAAAAATACCAGCTTGGCAGTCAGTTCTCGGGCCAGGGGATCGCAAGATCGCGAAGGAAGCTCGTGTTCCTTCTTGGGAGAAACAGAGTAGCTCTGGTAATGATTCATGTAGTAACTGCTTCCTCTGAGCTCCTACCACGTGATAAGAAAGAGCTTCTCGTGTTTTCCTTACGTCTTTCTTCCTGGATCTTACCTTCTCCAAGTTTCTGCCTTCTCATACGAACAGCCTCTACTGTCTTGGAATTTTGTTAATAAATTCTTCCCCCTTGGACAGCTTCCCGAGAGGCACCCAAGCCCTGTGTCCTTAGAGGAGAGCGCAGACCTCTGACTCGGCCCAGCTCTGGGCCTGGGGCCACTGCGGCTCTGCCCAGGTGCCTGTGTCCGCCTTTGGTTACCCGTCATCCCTCTTTTCTTTTCAAAGCAGAACTAAAAAGAGACAAGAAATTGCCAGAAGCCTAGCTTTTCCCTAAGAACCAGCACAAGGAGCTGTGTCATAGGGTGGCAGTGGGAGCAGAGGACATGTCCACTAAAAGTAGGCCTTGGATCCACTCGGCTTGGCTCCCACAGAAGGAAAATAACAGTTGTGTCCTTGGCACTTGGGGTGGAGGGCTTTGCCTGGGGTTCACAGGGTTTGGGCCTCTCTCAACCAGGCATTAGGGTCTTTCATACGATCACAGGCCTTACCCTTGGCTCCACTTGTCAGCCAAGACCACCGATTTGGAAAACCCGGCCCCCCACCAGCTGTTGATACCACTGTTCCTTGCTGAATTGGATTGTTGATGAATAGTTCAGAGGCACAAAGTTAGTTGGTAATTAGACAGTTACTTGATGGCGCAAGCCTGAAATGCAACTACCTAGTAAGAAATAAAGCAGGCATCTCTGGACATTATCAACGACTTGGCCTTTCCTGTGCTTAATAACAGATCTTTTTGCTTGTAGTGCTGGGCTCTGGGGAGGGGGTTGGGGGGGAGCATACAAGATCCTCTTGACTTTCTTTGGCTACCTTAGTAGCTGTGTTCCAGAATTATCGAGAACTGGTCGCCTGAAGCCGAGGAGTTCCTTTGGCTTAGAGCACCAGAGGCAGATCCCTGCCGGAGCTCTGGCTGCCATCTCTCCTGGTTCCACTTGTGCTGGCGGAGGGTGGATTCTCCGGTCACAGGCCTCCTTGTGGACACTGGCGCTCATTCCCTCCCCATAGGGGAGCAAGTGCTCTGAAGCCCAAGGAGGCCAGTTGCAGAAACGAGGAATCCCACGCAGGTCTCCCTGTGAAGAACGGGCAATAGCTGGACACCCTCAGCCCCAGCTCTAGCCTGGGCTAGGGGCTTCTCTGGAAACCCTGCCTGTGTCTCCTCTGGGTGTGCGGTGGATGCAGGGACAAGGTGAGCTCCACCTCACTTGGAAGATGGGTTTCTTTGGATTTCTGCCTGTGTCCCATATCATGACAGCCTTGGAGGAAAAGTGGTCTCTCAGCAACTACTTCTCTTCTGGTGCATAAGGAACAGAGTCCAGTGAGGGGTCCCTGTAAGTCCCTGCAGCAGAAAAATTAGGTCATCTGTGATTGTCCTCTGGCCTTACGGCGCTGACTGAACTACTACGGCTCTCTGCCACCAGATTTCCCCTCTTTGAGTGTGTAGGTTAGGATCAGTGGGAAGATTTACTACAAAAAAGCTTTAGGTTTATATGGAGGCTTTGAGGGGAAACGCTGGGGGAGGACCACTTTACCAATGCCAGCAAAATCCTGTCTCAATGGTGCCAGAGATCCTAAAAGTTCTTGATGCAGACGAAGTGGGTGGCTTCCTAATTCCCACTAAGCAGCTCCAAAATACCTTAATTCTTGTCACTAATTGGAAGCAGGTTAAAACCCCGGCTGTGATCTCTTCAAGGGCTTCCGTCAGCAACGAGGGAAACCCGTGCCCCAGCAGGTTGAGGCAGGAAGGTGGGCTGTAAAAATGCCACCCTGGGGTTCCAGATCTTGTGCTCGCCACAATGACCTCCAGATCTGATTCTACCCATTTTCACAACAGAGATGAGATTTTTTTTACCTGTCCCTAACAATAAAGATCTGGTTAAGAAAAAAGGGTATGTGTTTGGAATTGGTATGTGCAGTGGGCAGTGCTGAATGCCAGGGCGCAACCAAAGCTTCCTTTCCAGGAGTGAGGTGGCTGCCTGCCTCCACCCACCCACCATCTCTAAGTGTGTCCTCAAATTCAGTGGCTCTCACTTCTCCAAGCACAGGGAGCCAGTACTGTTTTGGCATCAGCCAAGCTTCAAGTGGTAGTTTTCAGCCAGACTTTGTTTTTGCCTCTTGCCTAATTAAAGACACAAAAAAGCTGTTCTCTCCTCCTGCCGCCTTGTTCCAGGGTAGCCTCGTTCCAGGGTAGCCAATGGAGTTCTGCAGTGATCTAGAGACAGAACCATGGTCCAAGATCAGATCAGCGGGACCCATTCAGGTATCAGCTTAGGGAGAACACTGTGTGTGTGTGTGTGTCAGCTTAGGGAGAATACCGTGTGTGTGTGTGTGCACACATGCGCATGTACACTTGGATTGTAGCTCTGGGAGAGAGATGAGCAGGCACCTGGCCCAGCCCCCTCCGGGCACACAGGTGCAGGCACAGCCTAATCGTAAGTCATTTCCCCAGGCCAGGCTGGGGAGGCCCATGCTTGCCCCATAGGACTGGAACGTGGCCTCATGTGGACCATGGGGAGCTTCCGCACTGCCCTCTGTGGCTCTTTTGGGTGGTGCTATGTGAACAGAGGGCTGACCCGGAGGCCCAGAGCTCGGGGTCTTTCAAATTCCCTGAAGCAGCTGTGTAGAAGTAAGCACTTCACCTGCATCCCTCTTTGCTGACCCCACGACTTACATCCAAGCAGGCCGCCCAAGGGAAAATTCTTTGTTGACGAATGGCTGTTCCCTGTTAGCATCATTTTTGATTGTTCAGTGTTAGTAAATGGTGCACAGGAAATATTTTCCGGGAAACGGGAGGCGCTTTGTAGGTAAATTTCATATTGCGTCTACTTATGGCTGGGATTTCTCCTTCTAGTGGGGGAAATGGACATTAGGATATCCTAGGCATGCCTCAAACATGAAAGCATGAAAAAAATCTGCTTTGTTTAAGGCATGTGTTCCAGCCCCTTGGGGGTTTGGAATACTTCCCAGGCCAGGAAGTCTGTTATTGGCAGTTGGGTAGGACTTGTTCTGAAGGACTGTTGGATTTCTATTAAATAATGTACCACCAACTCATGGAAGCCTGTCCCCAAGCCTGTCGGCCAGTGTGCAGCCCAAAGGAGGCAGGCAGCCCCAAGTCTGGATTCCTGGGTGCTCATGCCTCACACAAGCCAGTCAGCCACAGGGGCTAGAACTAGGATACAGTAGGAGGCATGATCTTGGGACCCAGGGCTAAAAAACGAAATCTCCTTTGGACATCACAGGATGTGGAAGTCCCCAACCAATCAGGAGCCACTCTGCCGGTCTGAAGTCAGTATGCACCACCCCCCCGCCGCCGCCCCGCCATTGCAGAGGTGAGGGAGGCAGGGAGGCCAGAGCCTGCTGTGGCCTTGTCCACCCCGCGCCCCCAACCCTTGTTCCTTTCTTGTGTTCTGAAGTAGCAACAGCTTTGAGGAGGGCCCTCCAAACAGGCAGCTTCGGCTGAAGAAGGTAGCTTCCCTACAATACAAACGTAGGAAGAGAACTGATGCCGTCTGTAACGGATTCAGACTCGGTCACGCTTGGCCTCTGAGTGTTGGCCTTGGCTGCAGCTTCTCAAGTCCAGCCAGGGCGGCGCGGCTTGTGGGCTCCGTCTCAGCCGCACCGATGTAACGTGGCAACCTAGTTCAGACTTTCAGTCGCCCATAGCAATGAAGAGCTCATCCGTTCATTTGGCTTCTAGCTTGTTACCTTTGTGTGTTCACTGATGAAGACAGAACGTAAGTTCTTGGAGTTTAAAGATGTCTACGTGAGTGTTTCCTAAAATTGTTTAAGTGAGCCAGCCAGATCTGCTCCCGGTGAGGGGTGGGCTGAGGGGCTGGGCCCCAGGTGGGGGGGCACCCTGGCCCTGCAGCCCAGCTGGTGGCTTTCAACACTAGTCACAGGACCCTGGGTGAGGTGCTGCTGCTGGGGTCTTCGTGGGGCAAGATGACAAAAGTGGAGCTAAAGGCAGCTCAGCTTGGAAGGGGACATCGGGTGTTCCTATCAACCATGGGGCGAGGGGTAGGAGGTCCCAGGTGAAACGAGACCCATCCCTGGAGGTCTGGCTCACCCTCTGGGTCTCAACGACAGGATTCTCCCAGTGAGCTGACCGCTGGGGCCGGGGGCTGGGAAAGGACTCTGCAGCTCTCCCTGCCCCGAAGCTCCAAACCGGGGTGAGGGTCCCCAGGCGGAGTTGCAGGTGTCCGGGGACAGTAGCATTTGCCCAGCACTTTCCCAGACGTTCCACTCACGGGAAGAAGGTGGGCCACTTTTTCTTGCTGCAAGCCAATTCCCCTCTGTCCAATTCCTCAGTTTTTTTTTTTTTTAAGATTTTATTTATTTGAGAGAGAGAGAATGAGAGACAAAGAGCACAAGAGGGAAGAGGGTCAGAGGGAGAAGCAGACTCCCCGCTGAGCAGGGAGCCCGATGCGGGACTCGATCCCGGGACTCCAGGATCATGACCTGAGCCAAAGGCAGTCGCTTAACCAACTGAGCCACCCAGGCGCCTCCTCCTTAGTTTTTTGGTCCAACGTCTATCTAGGCTTCAGATTCTGCTGAGAATGAGAAGCTGGATGGGTCTCTTTTACCCTCAGCCCCTCCGAACACGAGTGGCCTGCAGAATGCCCTCTGTGGAGAGACACTGGACTCCTTTCCAACAACTTGAGTCCAGGAAAACCCGACCCCTCCCTTCGGGGCTGGGAGTGGTTTTGAAGCACGGCTGCCACCTCGTGGCAGAAATCACCCCCAGCGCTTGCGCCACATGAAGGCGAGGCGCCCCTGGGCCAAACATCCCACAGCTTCCCTGAGCCCATTGCTAGTCATGTACTTCTAATTTTTTTATTCTAATTTCCTGGGGCTGTGGTGAAAAAAACAAATGTTGGCCTTAAGGTGGAAAAGAATTCAAGAGAGCAATTTTCCATTATCACTCAAAGAACAAGAACTTCGCCACCACCTGCTTCCCCTGTAGTCTTTTTAAAGAAAGGAAAGCTTGCCCTCCTCTCTGCTAAATTATCATCACAAATATACAGAAAGAACTCCTGAGACACGGTATATAAGCCACTGACTAGAAAGTGAATGGGATGTAAATTTCTTTCACCCAGTATGATAAAATAGGCTCAGAATTATGTGCCCAGGTATACATTTTTTACAGTTTTAACAGGAACAAGGCACAGGGTTTGCTTTCATTGATCTTTATTTTGTAACGAGGATCAGCAGGAACAATAATCCAGGACAAAGCTGCAGGAGACTCATTTCATGCTGGAAAGGCATGAACTTCCCGTTAGTGACCTCTGCTTTCTTAGTACTTTTCCAAGGTGTTGAGAACAAATGCCAACAGACTTCAGTGGTACAGGTCCCTGAGCTGCCTCCCAGACTTAGCCCGCTGGTGGGACAGGCATTACGGCTCTGTGAAGCTAGAGGGCCAGGCCCCGGCCTTCGTGGGCTCTCCTACCTTCTAAAAGCTGACAGGGCCTGGAGGGTATCGAGAACAATGTGTGGGCCACTTGCATCAGACATTTGTGTGAAGCCCCGGGCAGGCGCAGACTACAGTGGGGCACCAGAGTGGCGATTCCAGGCTGTCCACCTGGGAGAACACAGCCAACCCAAGGGACCGTTCCTGCCAAAACCTCTCCCCTCTAACATATCAAAGCAATCCCACTCTGCCACCACTTGGGGCATGAGTCATGCTTGATCTTTGGGTTCTCTCAAGAGGAAGTTTTGTTAGGGAGCAGGGGGAAATCTCAGAAGAATTCTCACCCTTGTTATTTTTGAGGATAAGCAGAGATTCATGGAAATTCTTATTTTTCCAATACCCATGTAATAGCGTCTTGCCCACCTCTTGCCCCCCTGGATATGGCCTAGGAAGCCACAGTTACCCACTCTGCCTATCTCCTAACAATGCAGGAGGGGCGGGGACCCCCTCAAACCAAGGACTGACTTCCATGTTCTGTCTCAGTGGTAACTCCTGTCCCTGCTCGAGTGTTCTGCCCTCACACGCAGTTGTCTTTTCCCTTCAAAAAGCAGGATGCTCGCAGCCATGGCCGAGTTTAGGCTGTCCACACCAGGCACGACGGGGATCAGCAGCCTCTTGCCCCCGGTGCTCTCGGCCAACTGCAGGGACTCCAGGCTCACGCCGTGGGTCTCTCCACCTATCACCACAGCTGCTGGTGCCTCTGTCCAGTCCAAGTCATAACTCTGGACCTCAAGTTCAGGGAGCCAGGCTCTACTGGCTCCAGGTTCTAGATCATCGTCTTCTTCCTCATACTTGTGTAACTTCGAGAGTCGTCGCTCACATACCCAACCGTGGTCACTGGCTTTATCAGACCTCTGGGCCTGGGCATAAAGGCCGCAGTTGTCAGCCACGTAGACCCGCGTGTCGGTGGGCAGGTAGTTGGGCAAGGTTTCCCAGTCCAGATTATTGACGATGGGCACCTGGAAATGTGCACCCATTGCTGCCCGTAGCACTTTGGGCTCCCAGGCATCCACACAGCCTAGAAAATAGAGACAGGATCCAATTAGGATTATAAACCTTCCCAGACAAGGGGGCTGTGGAGTAAATCAGATTAATTCTGGATCAGGAAAGAAAGCAAAAAATGTCCTACTGTAGCCTTCTTGAGAGCTGGGACCTCTGCCTCCCCAATTACGGCAGCGTCCAGCCCACCAAGGGACCGCAGGATGAATTCCTGCTAGTGCTGACACAGACTTTTTTCATCCCTTCAACATGACCATCCACCTGGGCCAGACACTGTACAGGAGATGCAAAAAGCATTAAAGTCCCCAGTCTCGAGGGCTCATGGCAGAGTGGGTGATGGTGTTGGGACAATATCCAAACACATGACTATAGTAACTGACGTAAAAGCAGCATGAACAGGGTGACAGAAAACCCTTGTAACAAAGCGGAGCTCCCAGGAAAAACACCCCACAGAACATGACCCTGAGCTGGATCTGGAAGGACAGGAGGAAGCTGACAAGGGCCAGGGGAGTTACAGAGTGGGGAAGAACACCACAGCCCAAACCCTGTAAGGAAAATGATCTGGCCGACAATGGATGGGGCGCGGTGGGAGATGAGACAGGAGGCAGGCAAGGACCAATTTAAAGGAGGGTGGGTAGCCAAGCTGAGGAAGTTTGGGACTTTATCCGTTAGACAACAGGATATCCGTTAGTCGAAGGATTTTAAGCCAAGTGGTGACAGAATTGGGTTTATGCTTTGGAAAGGCCCATTTGGCTTCAATGTTGAATCTGCACTGGAGCAGGGAAGCTGCTAGAGAGGGGGAAATAGATGGGGCAATTAACAGTAATCCAGGGAGAGCCAAGGCAACAGCCTTCTCTCTCTCTCTCACACACACACACAAGCACGCCCCCCCCCCACAGCACAGTAAGAAGCCTAAAAGAACTCTTCTTAGGACTGCTCAGCCCAGCCACTCGCACGTGCTCTTTCCCAGGACCTCGGGCGGGGGAGGCAGCAGGGCCAGGCCACCACCTACCTGCCGCCCGCCCCCAACTCGTTAGCACAACTCTCTGCATTCTAAGTTACCGCAAAAATTAACCTAATTTCAGGACAGAGTTAAGGAGGCAAACCAGTTTTGAAATGGAAAATAAGACACAGAGAACGGAACACTGCCCACACATTGTGCCAACGGTGGGCTTTCCCAATCACCGCAGGGACCCAGAAGCTGGGGGCGAGGGAGGGACAGAGGAGGGGCCAAGACTCATGGGGGGAGCCATCCAGTCTGACCCCTCTCCCTGGTGGGGAGTAAGGGACAAAAAATGTCCCCCCTCACCCTCATGCCCTCCATCCTGGGCACCACGACGAGTGTTCCCTACTCCCTCCCCACCTCCTCTATAGCCGCCACCACCATCGCCACCACCATCAATGTGGAAACCACACCGCCTGCAATATATAGGTGTGCTTCCAAAACCACACCGGCTCTCAGAGCGCTCAATGACGGGGTGGCTACGTGGGGTCCTGATGATGGAACCCCAGCACCTTGCTCTCATGCTGGTATCTCTCCATCTACTCCATCTATTCCAACAAGGTGGGACGGGGGCGGAGGGTTGAAAGGAGCAACCGAGGCAAGTCTCAGCAGTGGGAGTCATTACTAGTTTACAGTGAATGATCCTCTCCCTCCCACCCTCCCCACAAGTTGTAAGAGGCATTTTTTAGGTATGTCCCAGGTGTTAGGCAAGTCTCTTTAGAACCAAGCCTACTCATCCCATTACTTCTTCTTTTTAAGATTTTATTTATTTGAGAGAGAGTGAAAGAGCATGACGGGGCAGAGGGAGAGGAAGACACAGGCTTCCTGATGAGCAGGGAGCCTGACACAGGGCTGGATCCCAGAACCCTGGGATCATGACCTGAGCCGAAGGCAGATGCTAACCGACTGAGCCACCCAGGCGCTCCCTACTCATCCTATTTCTGATGACAGGAGAGAAATGTCATGAGGCTAGCTTGTGTGGGGGTGTTTGACCCATCCCAAGGCTCAGACAAATGCATCCCAATTTCATAATCACACACTGTCGGCATCATTCCTTCTACAAGATTCAGAATGTCAAGAGTTAGAAAGGTGTCATATGCCCAACATTTTGGGAACTCAAGATCATTACACAAAGGACTTGAAACGAAGTGTTAAAACTGGCATCTGTTTCTTCCCAACTGATTTTAAGTTCTTTAATAACCTAGCAGGTGTCAAAATAATTTTAAAAGATAATCCACATTTCCTGAAGTACTTAACGTGAGCCAAGCAGAGCCCTGAGTACTTCATGTGCACCATCGCAATCACCAAAACAGCATTACCAGGTAGGTTCTGTTATGCCCACATTACAGATGAGGAAACCGACACTCAGAATATTGCTCACGGACATACAGCTAATAAGGGGCAGATCCAAGACTCAAAACCATGTGTGTCTACCCTCAGAGCCAGCTCACTTACAAATGGCCACCCGATCCACCCAGTATTCAGTGCTCTGACCTTTGGTGAGTAATACTTTGCTGCAGCCGGCCCCAGCGGCAGATCTCAGAATTGTCCCCAGGTTCCCAGGGTCACGGAGATTGTCACAAATCAACAATAAGGGCAGCAAATGGCGAAGTTGAGTCTCTGGGTATGTCATCTTAACATGGTCAGGTTTGGCAAAAATCCCTGAGGAAACAAAACAGGCAGTTCACTTGTCTGATGTAACCACAGGGAATAATTTGGCTTTTCATTTATTTACCCATCTTTCTATATTCTTAGTTACATAAGTAATACAGGAATGCATTCTGATTGAAAAAATTCATACATAAAGTCCTACCAGTGATACCCAGCCCCCATAACTGATTTCGATCTGAGGGTGTATCCCCTCAGAACCTGTTCCATCCATCTGCCTACGTATATATACATCTACCCACATAGAGGTACTATCTTCTTTTCCGTAAAAGAGTCACACCCTTATGTGTTATTCTGTAACCTTATTCAATTCTCTAACATGAGATGTCTTAGAGAACTTCCCACGTCAATCCATTCGGAGCTACCTTATTTTAACTGCTTCACGTTATTTTGTAACATGAACATACCAGGTTTATTTAGCTCTTCCCCAACTGACTGACGTTTAGCTTATTTTCCATTTTTCCCTATTATAAACAACCCTGCAATGAACATCCCTGTATCTCTATGCACGTGTCCAAACATTTCCTGTGAAAAACACCTGCAAGTGAAATCGCTATATGCTGTGTGTGCACCCCTAATGTTAATAGGTACTTCTAAACTGCCCTCCCCACAGGCTAGGCCAATTTATTCACACCAAGAACACATAAATACCTATACCTAATCCATCAATGAAGGCACTAGAATATTAGGCATCTGCGTGCTGTAAAAACGTCCTGCACTTAGGAGCCACGGATAGCCGTGAGACCATTCAGCAGGGCAGGGGCCTTTCCTTTAACTTCTACCTGATCAGCTGTAGTGATGAAAGCTCTCTACTACAGGCCCTACTTATATTACTGGATTTTAAAGATATGCCGCAAGTCGGACAGGACGTCTTACTTCTTTCTCCCTTTACACCACCCCTCCAATATTAAATAAAACATAAAGATAAGCTAAATAATATGTATTTTTCAGAGGCATGAAATGATGAAAGCAGTCACAACAACAAGGAGGGCTACACAAGTCCTGGGTGGGCTGGCTACTGTTAGCACACATGCCCGAAGTGGTGAAAATGAGTGATACTTGCACTGTAGCATTAAGTAGGGAATTAAGAGGTGTAGCTAATGAGAGCACAAATACTTAGAGTAAGGGAAGGACTCTAGCAGTCCCAAATCCCCATCCTAGGGGAAGAGTTCTAAGCACAGGGTCACAGATCCCTGACTTGCTAGGTTACAGAACAAGAGATGGTCCCCAGAATATCCTCTCCCAACTAATCACTGAACTTTACCACAAGGAAACACATGCACAATTGGTATGAGAGATCCTGGCTCAAACATTTGAATCTTGAAGATAACTCCCCCTGCCCTAACTGTCCCTTACTATCCAAGAGAAACTTCTACACTTACTGCCATTCAATTCTCAGATCTAAGATATAATTCCAGTGTCAAAAAGGTATAAAGAATTTAGTCTTTCCGTATTTAGAAAAGAATACCTAAGTGCTAACAGACACATCACAGTCTATTAGAATCTTGTTAGATTCAACCAAATAAAGACACGGTTTCCTGTTCAATGGGCAACTTACTGCTCAGACATGCTTCTAGAATAAGGGGGTCAACGCCAGAGGGGTATCACCACACTGGCAGAAGTCTTGTGCAAATGGAGGGCGAAATATTTTAGTAAACATTTTCTTAAACTTTAGTTGGACATTAAAGTTTGAAGTGACCTAAAAAATATAATGTTCAAAGAACAGTGGTTATTCCTAAAGACTATGAAGAGCCATAATACAGTTTCCACTGAAAATACTGTAAGATGCACAGACTTGAGAACGGTATTTTTCTGGGCGTCTTAAGAAAACATTTTGAATTTGGTTCAAATAAAATTCATTGCCCTAACACAATTATGAATAAGTAATCCTAGATCTCTACTTCTAGTGACACATAGTATAACCACTGACCCATTATTCCTTGTGGTGTTACTAGGTCGGACCAATCCTTGATATCCTCAAATTTCACCTTAATGAGGCTGACACCTTTCAGCTTATCAATGGGTAGCTCCTTTATGTATTCCAGACGGCTAAAGAAGAAAACTTTGGGCACAGCACCAGCCTTGAGAGCGTCTGCAATCAGCCTGCGACCTTCCAACAGGATCTTTCCTTGCTTTTCCCGAAATGGCCTGGACTTAACTATTGTCATTACACTGCTGTGGGTGGAAACAAAAAGACGGGTAATTACCAACATCCTTGTTACGGAGTCACACCTAGTTCTAACAGATATAAAGAGCTTCACAGACATAAACAAACTAATTCCAAAGAAAACACTTATTCTGCCCTCCATGCGTAATAAAAACCAGAGGGTTGTACCGGGAGAAGTCCTCCAATAGGAGGAAAGAGGTTAAGCTCCCGCTGACAGGTGGGAAGAGAAATGGGAATACAAGACAAGTCTCAGGAACACATCACCTCAGCCTTCTGTCCCCGGGTAAAGCCTTATCATAGCGAAGCCCCGACTCTTCCCAGGTGCAGGGCGTCTGGGATGGTGACACCCGAAGCGGCTGCTTTGGTCGCTGCTCGGAGGGACTGGCCTCAGCCGCAGCCCTCCGGGGCTGCTTTCCAGGACCGGGCTTCCGTTCCACCACCTGTCCGGATGGAAACACCACCCTCACGGGGTTCCGCCGCAGCGCCCGGACCCAGCGCCGCCCGTCGAGGCACCAAGTTTGGACCACCCGCAGCAGCGGCCGCGTGGCCCAGCCCAAGCCCTTTACCCGCGCCGCCATCTTCCCTCGCGCCGTGGGTTGCGTCACGGAAGCGCGCCGGCGGCGACCAGTGACGTCACGACCTGTCTGCGCGTCTGCGGGCAGACAGGCTCACACCCCTGACTGTGTGGAGCTGGTGGCTATGGCTCCTCGTCGAGCTTTGCACTTCGTATTCAAAGTGGGAAACCGCTTCCGGACGGCGTGTTTCTTCCGCGATGTCCTGGGGATGAAGGTGCAGACGGGGCCGAGAGGGGCTGGCGTGCGAGGGTGGGTGGCCGGGGCCGCTCAGCCCCACTGGCCCAAGAAGGGGACAACTGGGTGTGTCGTGAATCTCCAGCCGTGCCCCGGTGTCCAACCTTAGCCCTGGACTCCCCATTAGCTGTCGGGTTTTCAGCTTCAGCAAGCGTTGCATGTCGCTGGTTGGGTTGGTGACCTTTGAAAGGGGCCTTTGTTAGTCGCCGACTGTGTGCCCACACACGTTTCTTTCACTTAAGTTGATTCACAAATACTGAGCCTGAGCCCTTGTGGAGCTTCCGGTCTAGTGGGAAAGACCGTAAACAAAAAGTAATATAATACTCTCCCCATGAACAATAACCCAATCTCTTCCGGTTTGGGGCCTTTCGGTTTAGATAATCAGCCTACTTAGACCTCTGCTTCTCTCAGGCCTGTTTTGAATGGTATCTTATGTATATTCAGTCTCCGGGTGAATGCTCCGGACTTCCTCTCAACAGTCCAGATCTAAGTGTGAAGTCAGAACCCATTGTCTCCAACACGCGGAAGCCGCCTCTCCAGCCCTGAGCAGTTGCGATTCTGCAGGGATCACCTGGGTGGCAAATGCAGGTGGAAGCTATTGGGGAGCTCCCGATAAGCAAGGGCTTTAGAGGTGCAAGAGTGCAATTTAATGTAGAGAGTGCAGAAGATGTGGCGTGCAAGCGAGTTACCTGAATTCATCAGTCATTTAAAATATATCGTTTGTGCTTCACGGTCCTGTGTTGGTGACAGCTTTGGTGACAAAGATGAAAATGACCTTGGTGTCTGTCCTCAACTAAAGCTTCTGGCCAGCCTGGGATGTGGGTGGAGATGAGAATTTGATTTGTACATAGCTAATGGTAATGGAAGTCAAAACTTGATAAGTGATGAAAACCTACAAAACTCTCCCTTAAAGTGTTTTGTCGATGATTGAAGCATTGTTTTGAAGATTAAACACATTATGTGTGTAGTATTTGATACATATGTATTATATAAGTGGTAGCTACTACTATTATTAAAAAAATACTATAGGAAAGATTTAACTTCAGCCTGGATCATCAGGAAATAATTCACGGAGATCTTGCATTTGAGTTGATCTATAAAGACAGGCAGGATTTCCACAAACAGAGATTAGAGGGAGGAGTATACTGGAAAAACTGAAAGAGCCAATGCAAAGATAAGGTATGTTTGGGAAACACCACTAGTTTTCTGTGTCTTTAGCTTAGATGACTTAGTTGAAGTTGAGATGGGGTATCAGGACAAATAGGCTGGGACTACTTCTGATAGTATCTTGAATACTGAGGAATTTGGATGTTAATGCTCAGTAAGTAGGGAGCGCTCTTTCATTTTAGAACAGGGTAATGATGTGATCAGAGCTGTGCATGAGGGACATAATTTTATGGTGGTATTAAGGAAAGAGATCAATAAGGATGATTTTAATAGTCTGGGAGAGAACTGATGGGAACTTGAGCTGGAGCAGTAGCAATGGGAATCAAAAGGGAGAATAGAAACTTAAGACATTGAGAGGCTACTGTGTGTGGGGTTCTCTGTCAAATAGTTTAATAAATTATCTATTTTCAGAACACATTGGGAGACTCAGGCCCTAAGCAACATTCTCAGACGTTCTCAATCTCAGACAACTATTGAGTGACAGCCAGGATTCCAAATCAGAATTCTTTAATGCTGAAGGCCATACTTTGGTTTTCTGGGTGGTGGGGGTGATTTTAATTCCACAGCGCTGCTTCCCAATCCAAGTAGATTTCACAGCCTTGGTTGCCTGACCCTTGGTGTCAAACTGTTCTTCTTCACTTCTACTACTTCCAGTCTGGGAAAGATACAAAGCTCATTGTCTTTTGTTTGTTTTAGAAGTAAAGCTTACAAATTATAAATGTCTGTGTTTTAACATTTTAGCTTGTGCTAAATATGCTGTGTACAGTACTGGTAACACTTTAAAACGTATTCTAATTCCCTTACCAGATTCTGCGGCATGAGGAATTTGAAGAAGGCTGCAAAGCTTCCTGTAATGGGTATGACACCTTGTTTTTTGTTTTTTTGTTTTTTTTTTTTTTTTTAAAGATTTTATTTATTCGACAGAGAGAGACAGAGAGGGAACACAAGCAGGGGGAGTGGGAGAGGGAGAAGCAGGCCTCCCGCGGAGCAGGGAGCCGGATGCGGGGCTCGATCCCAGGACCCCGGGACCATGACCTGAGCCGAAGGCAGCCGATTAATGACTGAGCCACCCAGGCGCCCCTGACACCTTGTTTTTTAAAATCTCCTTTAGGTTCGAATACCCCTGGAGAACAGAAGACAGTTTCTCGAAGTGAGTATAAGGCAGTGGAATAAATTCAGGAATCAATAAATTAGGGTGGCAGCTTCAAAAACACAAATAAGTGTATACTCTAAATGAACCAATGTCTTTTTTTTTTTTTTTTTTTTAGGATTTTATTTATTTGACACAGAGAGAGTACAAGCAGGGGGAGCGGCAGGGAGAGGGAGAAGCAGGCTCCTACTGAGCAGAGAGCCCAACTTGGGGCTCAAGCCCAGCACCCTGGGATCATGACCTGAGCCAAAGGCAGACACTTAATCGACTGAGCCACCCAGGTGGCCTCAAATGAAGCAATGTCTTATTGAGCGTCTTAGCCTAGTAGCCATAGCAAGCTGGAAAATTCCAAGGCCTAAAGAGAATTGCATGCTTTTTGAGAGATGTGCAAAAAAATAAAGGCTGGAGAAGTATCTTTAGAGGAGTATGTCCCCTACTTTAAAGAAAAGGTAAACAAATCTTTCCCTCAAGTGAGTGCCAGACAGGTGATCTTTGGAGTCCCTGGTGGTGAGGCCCACGAGTACTGTCCATAGCTGCTTTTAGCACCAGCTGAGAGATCATCTCATCCTTACAGGTACTCAGAGGACCAGAGGAGACTGCCCACTGTTCTGTCCCAAGAGTTCCTCAGGGGAGGCCTCAGGCAGATTTTGTCTGTATTCACTGGGTTCATTTACTTTCATTTTCTAGGCCTTATGATGGGAAATGGAGTAAGACAATGGTGGGATTTGGACCTGAGGATGATCATTTTGTCGCAGAACTGACTTACAATTATGGCATCGGACACTACAAGCTTGGCAATGACTTCATGGTAAGTGTCATTTTGTTTGAGCAGATTTTGGCTGTGCCTTTTATTGAGGTCCCTGATACAACCTTAGGTATGATGATGGCCCAGTTGGTGGCTTTTGATTAGTTTTATGTTTTCTATTGGTTGGTGATTAGTGTTACGTTTTCTGTTAAGATAATTGCTTGTGCACCTGTCTCAGAGCTGGCTTCAGGATGAAATGTGTTCTTCCAGTGTTTAGAAGTCAGACTCGAGACTTAGAGACAGCTTTGACAGAGACAAAATGACTGAACCTTGAGAGATAGAAGGGCCAGAATCATTGGTCAGGCAGGTCCTGATCACCAACCAGAGAAATATTTTCTCTCTAATGACGCATTAGGATCAGGCTGTGCTATTACGGCCAGTGCTAGTCATGGAAAACATAAGAAGCTTTTAAGGAGAAAGCGAAAGAAGCATTGCATATACTGCATTCATTCCTTCATTCATGCAAGAGTTCAAGTCAGTGTGCATCTAATAGTTACGGTATCGGCCTCTTATTGAGCAGATACTATGTGCTAGATAGAATGTCACAGCAGGATAGGAGTAACTAGTTTTCTCTCAGGATCTACTGAGCAGATCTACCTCGTGCTAGATGTTATTTTGGTCATTTAATCCTGCTATTACTCTTAACTCATGTTAAAATAATAATGACATTTAAATGGAATTTTTATGAGAATCAAATATCTATAAAAGTATTTTATAAATGAAAAGGATGGTTCAAATTTAACGTATTAGTGTCTGTTTTTCTCATTCTTCATGTCTCTCACTAATTCATTCATTCATTTATTTTTTTTTACTTTTTAAAATTTTTTTAAATAATTTTTTATTGTTATGTTAATCACCATACATTACATCATTAGTTTTTGATGTAGTGTTCCATGATTATTTATTTATTTTTATTAGAGAGGGAGAGAGAGAATCTTAAGCAGGCTCCACGCCCAGCTCAGAGCCTGATGAGGGGCTTGATCTCACCACTGTGAGATCATGACCTGAGTCGAAATCAAGAGTCAGATGCTTAACTGACTGAGCCACCCAGGCAGCCCTAATTTATTCATTTGACAGATATTTATTGTGACTTCCTATCTTCCATGTACCTGGCTAGGTCCTGGAGATACAGTATAGTGAAGCATGTTCCCTGGCCTAAGGAGCTTCCTGTCTGGTGAGGGAAACAAGTAAAGAGACGGAAGAACACAGTGTGATTAGTGCTAAGATTGGAATAAGAATAGGCGGATGTGGGAACACGTAGGAGGAGTTCCCCGAGAGGTGAGAGTTCAGAGAAAGCTTCCCAGAGGTGACACCTGAGCCCGCGGAGTGGGGTGGAGGTGGGACGGTGAGATGAGTGTCTTCAACGTGTGCACAGGCCTGGAGGTGAGAGGGAGCTTGGCTGTCAGGGAGCTGGGACTAGCACAGTCTGCCTTGAGCTAAGTGTGTGAAGAGGAAGTGAGCAGGGAGGAGGCTGGAGAAACAAGCTGGGGCCACATCATACGGGGGTGTTTACACTTGATGCTAAAAACAGAGGGAAGCCAATTTTAAATGACACAGTATATGTGGTGTGCAAGAATCCACCTGGCTGGGGGCGCCTGGGTGGCTCCGTCGTTAAGCGTCTGCCTTCGGCTCAGGTCATGATCCCAGGGTC